TTGGGCGCGGTTTAATGGTGGCAATACAAGAAAATATAGAATATAAATCAATAGAGTGCGCAATAGCAAGTTTAATAAAAGAGGGCAGCTTTGAGCCAGCTTGGAAAATAAAGAATAGAGAGTATGAAGAAATGGAATTAATAGAAAAGAAAAGAAAAAGGGAAGAGTATGAAAAGCACGATATACAATTTTTATTATCAGATAAAAAACAAGAAAATAGATCATTACCATTGGGTCATATAAATAACCCAATAGATGTAATAGATGAAGAAGATTTCAAACAACAACAACTACAATTACAACAACAACAACAACAACAACAACAACAACAACAACCACAACAACAACAACCACAACCACATCAACAGTACCAACAACCACAACAAGAAAAGAAATTAAGACCATCTTTTTCATCATCATCATTTTCAAATCCTTCATCACCACCAACTACACCATCTACTCCACCAACACCATCAATTTCAATATCATCTTCATCAGTTTGCCTTTCATCACCATCCATATCATCACCATCCATTTGTATTTCATCACCATCAAAATCATCATCATCTTTATCTGCATTCAATACATTACCACAAAATATTGTTATTCTTGGTAGTTCTTCGTCACCATCATTACCATCATCTTCTTATTCCCCATTATCACCATCATTACCATCATCACCTTATTCACCATCATTATCATCATTATCATCTTTATCATCATTATCATCAAATATTTTAAAAAAAAGCACCAATAACACAAACAACAATAGCAATAATAGTTGTAATGTAAATAGTCATAATGTAAATAATTTAACAAATATAACAAATAATAGTTTTAATAGATATAGTGGTAATAGTTATAATAGTTATATAAATAATAGTATTGGCCATAATAACAATATAAATAATAATAGTAATAATAGTAGTAATATTAATAATTATAATAGTAGTAATAGTAATAATAATAATAATAATAATAATAATAATAATAATAATAAAAGAAATGATAAATTTTTAAAGATTTGGGAAATTGAACAAATTAGAAATAGAATTATATATCATGTTAGATTATATAGAAAATATTCAAAAATAGTTATAAATTCAAATATAATGGGATCTGTTTTATTTGATAATTCAATTAGAACCTATATAAATACATTAGTTTTTTCAAGTAGTGGTAATATTAGTTCGACTATCCAATTAGTTAAAGGTATTATTCCTTCTTCAGTTACAGAATTAGATCTTGGTGGTTATAATAATCCTTTAGAACTTGGATCTATCCCAGATTCTGTTACTAAGCTTACATTTGAAAAGTATAATCATTCACTTTTCCCAGGATGTATACCAAATAGTGTAGTTATTTTAGAGCTTAATAAATTTAACCAGCCACTTTCAACTAATGTAATTCCATCATCAGTATCAAAACTTAAAATGACCAATTTCAATCACTCTTTAGAATGTGGATTTTTACCAAGTTCAATCAAAGAGTTAATATTACCAGCATTTAATAAACCAATTAAGACCTCTACTTTTTATCTTCCAACTTCAGTCGCATACCTTTCATTACCAAGTCTTTTCCACCCAATCCCAAAGGGTTTCCTACCATCATCCCTTCATAAACTCGAATTTTCATCAAAATATTTTGACCCAAACCTTGAAGAATTCTTACCAGAATCAGTTACTTCATTACAATTAGGTAAATTACCAACTCGCAGTCGTATTCCATTGTCAGTAAAATATTTTCAATTTGATAGCTTTTTTAATGAACCACTTTTAATTGGCAGTTTACCAAAGTCATTAACATCACTCAAGTTGGGTGATTCTTTTAACCAGCCAATTTCAGTTGGTGTTATACCATCATCTATTCTTCATTTAGAGGTATTTATTAATTATTAGTTATTACTTTTTATTAAAAAAAATAAATACTAATTTATTTATTTATTTATTTGTTATTTAATTATAGTTTGGACGTGCATTTGACCAACCAATAACTACTGGTGTTATTCCACGTTCTATTATGTATTTACATTTTTCTGAAAACTTTAACCAACCAATTGCAGTCGGCACTTTACCAAATTCAATTACTTCACTTACATTTGGAACTCATTTTAATCAACCAATCCTCGACAATTCATTCCCAAACTCTATTAAAATATTAAAATTTGGAGCTCGTTTCAATCAAACTATTAATCAGCAATCATTACCATCAAATTTAGAGTATCTCGATTTTGGCGCAAAATTTAATAAACCATTGACATCCATTTCTATTCCATATAGCGTAACCAGTTTAAAGTTTGGTAATAAGTTTAATCAAGTGCTCAAACCAGGTCATATTCCAGGTGCTGTTAAAGTACTCGAATTTGATGCATTTTATAATAGAGCATTACCAAAAGGTGTTTTACCAGAAAGTTTAACCCATTTAACAATTTCAAAACAATACAAAAAATCCGATCAAAATCCAAATCCGCTACTTTTAGAGGTTTCAAAGAGAGTCAAAATTAAATTTATTTAAATACACAATTAAATATTTATTTAATAAAAAAAAAAAACTTGTACATATTAAAAAAAAAAAAAAAAAACACACCCCTTTTTATATTTTAAAATTTTATAAAACATTTTATTATTTTTTTATTTGATTGTTTCTTTTTTTTTTTAAATTTTTTTTTTTTTTTTTTTCTGATTTGATAACCATATATAAATTTAATTGTTTTTATGGTTGTTTTTTTCTTTTATATTATTGTTTTACACAAAGGATATTTTATTGGCACTTTATTATTATTTATTTCTCTTTTTTCCCTAATTTTATTGGAATTTTTTTTAAAAAAAAAAAAAAAAAGAAAAATATTAATGTAATATATTTATATATTTTAAATAAATGAAAAGGTTTATAGTTTCATAATATAAAAAAAAGGAAAAGGTTTAATTTTATTAACCTTAGTTATTTGTAAAATAATATATTTGAAGTTGTAATTATATAAATTAAATTTATTATTATTTTTTTTATTAATTTTTTTTTATTAAATTTTTTTTAATTTTTTTTTAATTTTTTTCATTTTTTTTTTTTCATTAATTTTAAATTAAAATTTTTTTATTTTTATAAAATTTTTTAATGATTTTGTGTGTTAAATTGTTTTGACATATAATAGTAATAGTAATAATAATAATTAGTAAATAGATAAATAATAGTTATAAAAGAAAAAAAAATAGAATGAAGAAAATGTTTTTAAAGTTTGGAAGAGGGGGCGGTGATGATGACGGAAATGAAAATAATGATAATAATAATAACAACAGCAATAATAATAATAGCAATAGTGATGATAAAATGAATGTTGACGAAGATAGAAGAAAAAGACTTCAAAGATTCGAAGTTCCAGAAGAGCAGTTAATTGTAGCAGCACAACAATTAGAACAGCAAAAACAACAGCAGCAACAACCAGTTAAACAACAAAGTCCACCACTTAAATCAGCACAAATGGATGTTACACCAGCACCATTGGTTCAAAAACCAGCAACTACAACTGCCACAACTGCAGCATCAAAACCAACTTCACCAACAGCACCAACAGCTGCCTCTAAAGATACAATTAGACAATGTGAAATACCTATGGGTGAATATAATTATTATATACTTGAAAAATTATTTTTAATTTATTTATCTCCACCAAGTGTAAATATCATTTAAAGCCATAGTTATACTATTACCTAGCAATTTCAAAATTTATTTATTATTTTTATATTTTTTATATATATATATTTAGAACCAACAACCAAAGTCAATCTATTTAAAATCAGTTGTTGAATCATTAAAAGAAGATATTCCAAGTGATGGTAGTGTATTAACATTAGAAAAACCAATCTTAGATAAAATTATTGTTGAAAGATTATCAGTAAAGGTACCTGGTGTTACAGCGGTAGAGTTTTTAATTGGTAGCTATAATAGAATTCAACAGGCAAAAAAAAAGAAATTACCATTAAATGAACAAGTTCTCAAGGACAGTATAGAGTTGATTTTATTATATTTTGGTTTAGTTTTAACTATCCCAGATATGTTTCAAGGTACATCTTCATCATATGGAAGCGGTTCTGTTCAATTAATGCCATATCTTTGTGGAGAAACAACTGAAGAGTTATCTGATCAATTTGTTTCACAGTTTTTAGAGGAATACCAAGAAGATTTAGAACCAGTAAGTAAATAACATACTATTTGAAAACAATTATATTGTTTATATTAACTATTATTTGTTTATTATTTAATAGATTGTCGAACCAATATTTTTAGATCTTATTAAAGTTATGTCTAGTATAACTTTAACTGGTAGTATATTCCCATATTATAGAGTTTTTTCAAGATTAGTACAATTTAAAAAGATTTCAGAAGTTTTAGTAAAATTACCATGCTGGGTTGATCCAAGCTTTAACGGTAAAGATATGGAACGTAAAACTGTTTTGGGTTCATTATTTATGCCATCATCAGCATCCGACGATGTATGTTTTCAATCACTTTTAATAATTAAGGAAATGGATAGATATTAACTTTTTTTTATTTTTTTATAAATAAAGGGTATGGCATTAAAACACTTTTTTGCAAATGCATCAACTATGGATAGAAACAGTATTAGTGACTCATTCCTTTCAATTAGACAAATTCAAACCAACATTCATAACAGTTTATTAGATTTATTAAAAGGATTTTTGAAAGCTCATCCAGATAATAAAGAAGCATTCCTTTCATGGGTGGTCCCAGTTATTGAAAAGAATCTTGAACGTAATAAAATGCAGGTTGATCGTGCCAAAGCATGTAGTGATGGTTTTGCTTTAAATCTCTGCGCCGTATTAGTATTACTTTGTGAATCATTTGTTGATATTTCATTCTCAAAAGTTTCAATGGTAGAAACCGGTTTCTTGTTATCAGGAAAAAGACACGATATTTCAAAAGATACTAGATTATGTGCTAATGAACAACAGGCTGAAGAATGGACCAAAGATGGCTCAATTCCAAAAGCTCAAGATCACACCAATTTCATTACCGAATGTTTCTTTGTAACTCTCAGAGCTTTACACATTGGTATTAATTCAACTTTTGAAAAATTAAAAATGATTGGCCGTAATTTACAAGATTTAGAGAATAATAAGAAGGTATTGTTAGATTCAAAACAAAAATGGTTTGGTGTAAGTATTTCAGCATATTTAAAAATGTTTATAAATAACAATAAGTTATTAATATCATAAATTCATTTAATCTAGACACCACAAGGTAAGTTATATGAAAACCAATTAGAGTTGCTCACAAAGAAAGAGGATTTACTTAAGGGTATTACTTATTCAATTGATGCCCAATTATTCGAGCCAGTATTCTTACAAAAAACTGCCTTGTTCTTATTATTTGCAACCAATTGGTTATTAAAAGTTATCAATCCAAATAATCAACCTTTACCATTAGCTTTACCAGCACCAAAGGTTTTTGCTTCATTACCAGAGTTTTGTATTGAGGATGTTGTTGATTTCTTTACATTTGTAATTGGGTAAGAGTTTTTATTATTAATATGTTATGGTTTTACTATTTTAAATACTAATTATTGTTTTTATTGATATACAGTAATTTCAGTCAAGCATTACAATATGTTCAATTAGATAGTTTAATGAAATTCTTTATTTCAATTTTAGCAACACCAGAATACGTTAAGAATCCATACTTGAAAGCCAAAATTATTGAAATCGTTTCACAATTTGTACCAAGTCAACATAACAAAGGTAATCCATTGCTTTTAGAATGCAACGCAGAAATCAAAGATCATTTAGTATTATCTCTAATGAGATTTTATGTTGATATTGAATTTACTGGTGGCCACAATCAATTCTATGAAAAGTTCACATATCGTCATTACAGTTCTGTAATCTTAAAGTACTTATGGTCAGTTCCAGATTTTAGAAAGAAATTCTTTGAAACACCAAAAGATCCAATTTTCATCAAATTTGTAAATATGTTAATCAATGACTCAACCTATGTATTGGATGAAGCTTTGGCTAAATTAATTAAAATTAAGGAAAATCAAATTTTATTTGATGATCCAAATTGGGATAAAAATTTAACACCAGTAAGTTATAATTAATAGTTATAGTGGCAGCAAGAAATAGTTTTAATTTATTAATTTTAATTAAATTTTTTTTTTTTTTATTATTTACAGGAACAAAGAAAAGAAAAAGTAGAACAAAATGATTTAAATGAAAGAATTTGTAAATCAAATCTTTCATTAGCAAATAGTAATATCGATATGATGTTATATTTATCAAGTGATAAGATTATGTTGGTTGGCTTTTTAAGACCAGAACTAATTGATAGAATTTCAGCAATGATGAACTATTTCTTGGCTCAGATTGTTGGACCAAAATGCACAAACTTAAAGGTTAGAGAACCAGAAAAATATCATTTCAATCCAAAACAATTATTAAATCAATTAACCGAAATCTATGTCAATTTCTCCAAAGAGCCACGTTTCCTTCAATCAGTGGTTCGTGATGGTAGATCATTCAAAGTTTCAATCTTTGAAACCACTGAAAGAATTTTACAAAGAGAAAGAATTAAGAATGATCAAGATATGCAAGATTTTTCTGCTTTAGTAAAGAAACTGGAAAAAGTTGCTGCCGAAGAAGAAGCTGCCGAAGAAGAACTTGGTGAGATCCCAGACGAATTCTGTGATCCAATTCTTTCAACTCTTATGACTGATCCAGTTATTTTACCATCAAGTAAAACCGTTATCGACAGACAAACCATCCTTAGACATTTATTAAGTGATCAAACTGATCCTTTCAATAGATCCGTTTTAACACCAGAAATGTTAATTGATGATGTCGAAACCAAAGCTAAAATTGAAAAATGGTTAAACGATAAGAAAAAGAAATAAATTAAAAAAATAAAATAAAATATCATAATTACAATTACAATTTTTTAATATTTATTTTTCAAAAATTATAATCATAATAATAATCAAAATTGGCTACCCATGCACATATAAATATCATAATTTTATTTTCATTTAAATGAAAAAAAAAAAACAAACACTTTTCAAAAAAAACAAACATAAAATAAAAATAATCTAAATATAGAATATATTTATAACTTTAAATTATATCATTATTTTTAAATTTTTGTAAAGTGTAACATTATTATTATTAATGTTGTTGTTCATAAAGTATTATTGTGTGTGGTTCAAATTATTTGAATATAAAAATATAAAAAATCCCCCACACTTATTTAAACACACAATTATATGTTAACTATCATAAAAATATTGACTACTGGGCAATCATACCTTGATTTGGCAAAATTTTAATGTTAATCAAAATAATAATAATAATAATGATAAAACAATATTTAAAAAATAATCATAAAAATGATAATTGTATGCAGTATAACTACTACTATTATTTTTTAATACAATTTACAAAAAATTTTAAACTTACTATTTGGTTTGAGTTGATTTATTTATTCTCCTTATTATTTTTTAAATACACATACACATAACATATAGTTATATGGAGACAGTACTGCTTTTTATCTATTGTTTTTTAAAATCAAAAATAACAAGATTTCCAAAAATAATGAAAAATAAAATAAAAAAAACTTTTGATATTAAACTAGATAATAAAATAAAACAACTCTGTATTTTTGAGTATTTTAGTGTGTGGTGTGTTTTAGTGTTTTGGTATATAAATATAATGTGTGTGTGGAGTTGTATGTGAGAGTGTGTGAATAAATTTTATTTTTTTATATTGTTACTTTTGAATGTGTTGGATTTTGTGGGTAGAGAATTTATTTATGTGGTGTGAATAGGTGTGTTGTTTTTTTATTTTTTTCTTTTTTATTTTTTTCTTTTTCTATTTCTCTCTTTTTTTTATTATTATTTTATTTTATTTATTAAAATTTTTATTTATTCATTTATTTATTTAAAAAATTTTATATAATAACATATAAATATATAATATTTTTTATTTTTATTTGTATTATTAAACAACGATTAAAAAATTTAGATATCTATTATAAAAGATTTTTTATTACTTTATTTTCTTTCTTTTTTAAAAACTTAAAAATAATCAAAAGTCAATTCTTTTTTAAAAATACAATACAATTAATAATAATAATAATATTACCCACATTTCATTGATACTATAATTATTTTTATTTATTTTTTTTTATTTATTTTTTTTTATTTTTATTTTTTTTCTATTTTTTTTTTTTCAATATTGTTATTTTTAAAAATTTAAATACACCCATTAATAAAAAATAACAATAACAACCACCTTTATTAAAATAATCACAAAAATAAAATTAAATCATATTAAATAAAATTTTATTTAAATCTTTTTTTTTTTTATTTTTCTCTGTAACAATTAAATAATAATGTGTAAAAGTATAAATATATGTTTATTAGGGTCAAGTCTCAGTGGGAAAACTTGTTTAATTAACTCGTTTATATATTCAAGTTTCTCAGATGACCAATATTACCCAACCATAGAAAATAAATTAAGTAAAATATATTCCTTTAATAAAGTTTTGTACAATATAAATATTTATGATACTGGTAATTTATTTATTTATTTTTATTTTAAATTAAAATTAAGATATTAATATATTAATAATTTTTTATTTAAATTAGCCGGGTCTAGCGAATTAGACAATTTGGTACCAGATACTATTAAAGTTTGTGACGCATTTATCATTGTGTATTCTTTAAATAATAGAGAATCAATAGATAAAATTGATTATTATAGAGATTTAATATTAAAATATAAATCCACAGGTCAATATCTTTCATCAACATCAATATTTCAACAATCTCAATCAATAAATATACCAATAATGTTAGTCGCAAACAAAAGTGATCTCTCTGGCCATGTAATTAGTAAAACCGAGTCACAAGATTTGGCCCAATATTATAAAATGCCTCTTGTAATTTCTAGTTGTAAAAATTTAAACTCTGTCCATAATGTTTTCAATACAATTTTAAAAGAAATTCAAAACCAAAGTGATAATATCAAAAAACAAGAAATAATTAACAATAATAACTATTTAAATAGTTTAAATAATACAAACAATGGAGGTGGTGGGGTTAAAAAAATTTTTAAAACAAAATCACAATTTTTCTTTAATACAAATCAAAATCAAAATAGAACGAAAAGTGAATATTGTTTAAAAAAAAAGAAAAAAGATATTATTACATATTTCAAAGATGCATTAAAAGATTTTATATAATAAACTATAAATAAAATTCTCTTTTGTAAATATATATTATTTTTCAAAAATATAAATTCAATTGTACAAATTTTTATAATAAAATTTTTATTATAAAATTTTAAATATAGAAATAACTTTTTTAGAAAACAAAGGTTTTGAATTTATATTAATTAACCATTTCACAAAAAATGAAATTTTTTTAGTATTAATTGCTAATCACAAATATTTGACTTACCTCTTCAATAAGAATGGTGCAAAGGTTAACTTTTATTAATTTATTTTTTAGAAAAAATTTATTTTTGATTATTTAATTTTAGTTATCTAATTTTTGTTGAATAATTTTTGTTATTTAATTTTTATTTGTAATTCATCGATAAAGTTCTGTAACTTTCCATGTGTATCGGTATTTTCACTCTAAATATATCTGAATTCCATATATTGCTAAACTTTTCTAGCTTGTTGATAATCTTCAGATCAAAAAAAAAAATGAAAAAAAATTTTCATGAAATTTTTAAATATCACATTCGGGGATGTAGCTCAGATGGTAGAGCGCTCGCTTAGCATGCGAGAGGTAAAGGGATCGATACCCTTCTTCTCCAATTTTATTTTAAAATAAATCTTCTCGGTGATTGAATCTTCCAGGTGATAATTCTTTAACTTTTTGAGGATGAAAGCATAGTTTTAGTGTATTTGAATCCCAGTCTCGAAGAATCACACAAATTGACTTTACCGTACCCAACTTTTATGATGCGTGGTAAAGCTCAAATAAGAATACCAAAGCAAAATAAATAAAAATATAATGTATCAATAATAGAAGAAAATAATAAAATATATTAAGGTTTTTATTATTTGAATGTTTTTTTTTGAAAAAAAAACAATAATTTAACTTTTTAATGAATTTATTTATTTTTTTATAAATATTTTTTGTTTGCTTTTTTAAAAATAAATATTTATTTAATAATTTTTTTATAGTGTGTTAAATTTATTTTTAATTTTAAATATTGCGCTTTATCAAATAACTGCCATAATATTTATTTATATATGATAAACGATAACCAAAATTTTTAATCTCTAATCAATAATAATTATCTTCATTTTAATGTATAAATAATATTATTAAATATTATGAAATAAAAATGATATTTTTATTATATTTATTCCACAATATAAAAAAAATATAATTTTATTTTTTTAGAAAAATAGCTATTTATGAAGTTTTGATAGAAGAATATTTCTACGAAATAAATTTTTTGGAAATTTTTAAATTTTTATATTTGTTATAAATTTTAAAGTTTTTATAATATTTTTCTCAAAATTGTTTTTAGATCTATATTTTCAAAAAAACTATAAAAAGATTTTTTTTATTTTTAGTTTCATTATTATATTGTTTTAATTATTATATTTAATAACCTAATGTTTTTTTAAAAATGAAATTATTATTCACATTATTAGTTCTTTTATTTAGTGTTTCAAATTGTTACGGACAAAGTTCCTCAAGCTCATCTTCATCTGAAGAATGCCCTCCTTACTATTCTGGTCCCACATGCTCAGTTTTAACACCCCATATTTCATTTTATCAGGCTGCTAATCCAACTGGTGGGTATGTTACTTTTTATGGGTACTTTGGTGATGATCTATCTGGTTTATCAATTAAAATTGGGGATAATACATGCTATCCATCATGGTCCATTTCCTCATCAAGAATTGAATGTGGGGTAGATCCACTAAACCTATATGAATTTTATGATGTTGAAATTACAACCACAAACGGAGTAAACATCTTTAAAGAGGATTTTTATTCACCTTATATCGATGATTGTGAACATGGTAATTTTTATATGGGAACATGTATATGCACAACTGGTTATGAAGGTCAACTTTGCAATGTAATGAAATCACCATATATTACAAGTATTTCATCCACATCAGTCGATGGAGGTGTAACTACTATTGAGGGTTGGTTCACCACATCTCCAGAAAACTTCTCTCTTTTTATTGGGGGAAAAAAAGTTATTATTATTAGTTCCCAATCTACATTTATTACAGGTTATGCCCCACAAGGTACAGGGACACAAGATGTTACAATCTTTGGCTCAAATAATCAATTAGTATTTACTGGTTCTAATTTATTTACTTATGACCCAAATATGTGTTTTAATAATTGCTTTAACAATGGTGAGTGTAATAACGGTGTTTGCACTTGCAACTATCCATTTGTTGGCGATTTCTGTTCACACACAAAAGATAGCTCATGCCAATGCTCCTATGATTAAATATAGACAAATTTTCTTATTACAATTGTAATCAATTTTAAAAATAAAAAATATGATTTTTTTTTTAATTTTAATATACTATTTTATTTAATTTTTTTTAATCTTTGGTTATAATTTTTTTGATTTAAGTTATTGACTCATTCAACTCCAAAGAAAAGGATTTATCCCAACAATTAGAAGAAGAAAGAGAAAAAAATAAAGAATTAAATGGCTCAGTAGAACAATTAGAATTGAAATTAAAAGGTGTTCAAGATGATAAAGATCAAGTTCAAAGTCAAATTCAATCAATTAAGTCAGAAAAGGAACAGGCTCAAAAGGATATTGACAGTAAAAAATCAGAATTAGATAGATTAAAAGATTTGGTAAAATCAGCTCAAGATGAAATTGAACCTCTAAAGGAAACTTTAAAATCAACAGATAATGATACACAAAAATACAAATACAATCCAAATATGAAGAACTTGAACGATTAAATCAAACTATTCAAGATGAAAATAGAAGAAAAGGATAATATCATCAAAACTATTCAAGATAACCAAAAAAGTCTCTATCATCTATAGAATCTTTAAAGATTGAATCTAAAGGTTACCAAGATAAACTTTCTCCATTAGAAAAATCAAATAGTACTCTCAAATTAGATTTGGATGCCAATAATAAATCAATTGACAATAAAGACAATGAAATAAAAGAAAAGAACAAGTTAATTGATAAGCTAAATAAAGATTTATTAGATGCCGCATCATCTTCAACACAATCCTCAAAATCCAAACCAAGAAGAGCTTGATACAAAAGTTCAAAATGCTATTAGAAAGAACCATTCTACAATCAAAAAGAATAATATTAAAGTTTATAAATTGGATGGTGGTGATTATATTATTAATTCAATTGTTTATAAAATGGATTTAGATAAAGATGGTATTTTATTGGCAGAATCAATTAAAGATGGAGAAGTTTGTCCAATTGATAAATGTTTCGACAAACCAAATCAACAAGGTAAATCTAAAAAAGATTCATTCCCATATTTATTACTTTTGGGTGGTATCATTATCTTATCTTCAGTCCTTTACAACTCTTACCCAAAGAATTTATTTTATGAAAAACCAACTTAAAGATATGATTTTTTTTTAGTAATAATTAGTTTAATAAACATTTTGCTTTTTTAAATATATATTTAAATTTTATTTTGTTTTACTATAAAATGTGGCATTTCCTTAAAGTATGCAATTTGATCCATTTTTTTTTTTTATAAGTGGATTTTATTGTTTTTAATTATCAATAGGTTTGGGGTTGGATGGCCTTGATTCAATATTTCAATGATTATTTAATTTTTAAAAGGATAGAGTGAATAATTATAAATATTTTTATGGGAATGTTGATTAATTATTTTGAATTCATTAAAATTTCTCTAAATTGGATTAGATCATTCAATAATATCAAGATTTATTGTATTATGATTATTGGGAAAGTATTTTATTGAATCATTATCTTCACTTGGACCTACAACTTCCCATCCTTTAGGGTCATCAAATGGTAAACCTTGTTTTCTATGTCCAAGAAATGGAGGTTCAGTTGATGCTTTTTTTCCTACATGAGCTATTTGAATACCCATACGCGGACCAAAGATTTTGCAAAAATCTATAACTCTTTTTAATTGCTCCTTTTGTCCATCCTTCCATAATCCACTATCACTATAGCTGATTCTTCCTTCTGGTGAGGTTGCTGTTGCTTCTAAAATAATTAAACCAGCTCCTCCTTTGCTATATTTTAATAATTAGTAAAAATTAGTGATTAAAAATTATCGTTATCGTTTATCTTTTTTAGACCATCTGGAAGATTTTATAAAAAACGATAAAAATGGATAATCAAAATAAAAAAACAATAATTCGACTTTTTTGTATTGGTTGAGGTTTTATTAATTAAAAAAGAAAATAATATTATATTATATTTATAGATTAATGGTGATGTGCGAAATAAAGAGGTCAACCTGCTAATATAAGCATCAACACAAGTGAAATAGCACCATAATATTAGATTTATCAATATGGTTTTGTGAAGGTTTTTGAAAAGGAATATAAAAATATTATTATTAATAAAAAAGCGCTAATTATAATCATAATTAAAAAAAAAAATAAAAAAATTTTTAATAAAAAATTTTAAAGAAATTTAAAAAAAAATTAAATTTATAAATTAAATAAATTTTTTTTTTTTTTTTTTTAATATATTTTCATTCAGCTATCATACCAATTTGATTATCATATAATGAACTACCAAATTCTTACTTTATTCCTTTTCCACATATCAATTATGAAATGAATTATAATAAAATAATATAAATGGAAAAATGATTTCTTTAAAAGGAAGATGTGTTTAATTTATTTGAAAATTAAAAAATTTTGAAAAAAAAAAAACCTCCCCTGTTTCAAATTATTACCAATTTTGATTGTAGCAGATCTACATTTTTTTTTGCAATACAAATTTTACTTATTTTGGAATTGATGTTTTAAATAAATTAGGAAATAGTTATAGATTAATTAATTAATTAATTTTAAATTAAATTTTTTTTTTTAATTTTTTTTTTAAAAAATTAAAAAGTATTTAAAGAAAATAATTTCATAAAATTTATTTTTTTTCATTATACACATTCAGGTAAATTCAAGTGGGTTTGATCATTCAAGATTATCAAGTTATATTATAAGGTAAGTATTTTA